ATATATATATATATATATATATATATATATATATATATATATATATATATATACATATATTTATGTACATATATATGTATATATACATGCATATTCTTACGCATTGATAGAATTGCAAGCTATGTGACCATCAACATGTTTGGTTTGGTCAATGAAAACCTTTAATCAAAAAGTGCACGTGCTCCAGGTAGGAAGTAATTAGCCTTTTCACTTTAATTGTTAGTCAGTAGCCTCACTCTCCCCATATCTCCCTCTCTCTCCCACTCCTCTTTCTTTCCTCTTCCCTCTTCTCTCCTACTCTTCCTTTCCTCCCTCCCGCTTTCTCCTCTCCCTCTCTCTCTCACCTCTCTTCCTTTTCTTCCTTCCTTTTCTCTCTCTCTCTCTCTCTCTCTCTCTCTCTCTTCTCTCTCTCTCTTCTCTCTCTCTCTCTCTCTCTCTCTCTCTCTCTCTCTCTCTCTCTCTCTCTTACTCCTCTTCCTCTTCCCTCCTTCTGTCTTTTCTCCTCACCCTCTCTCTTTCCTCATTTCTCTTCCCTTCCTCCTTCCCTCCTTACGTCTCTCCTTCTCTCTCTCTCCTCCTTGTGCCTTTCTGTCTTCCTGCACATTGCAATACAAACAGAGAGTATTCCAATGCGTGAAGCTCAGCTCACGTGGTCACACCCACGCCGTTGACACACGCTGCTTAGTCACGTGACCGACGCCGTACTTCTATGGGCAATGGGCAGGGAAGGAAAGATCATACATGGCGTTGCATCTGATGGCAACGTAGAGATCATTTTCGCGGCCGTATTCCGTTGACTTTTGCTCGCCTATGTTGCATTTCTTTTCTTCTCCTTCTCCTTTTCCTCCCTCTTCTTCTTCTTCTCTTTCTTCCTTTTCTTTACATTCTTCTTCTTCTTCATCTTCTTTGTCTCCTCCTCCTCCTTCTTCTTTTTTTTCTTCTTCTCATTCTTCCTATTTCCTTCATCTTCCTTCTTCTCCTTCTACTTCCTATTTCCTTCATCTTCCTTCTTCTTCTTCCTTTTCCTTCTCTTTCCTCTCTCTTCCTATATCCTTCTTCTTCCTCTTCCCATTCTTCTTCTTCTTCTTCTTCTTCTTCTTCCTTCCTGTTTCGTTTTCTCCGCCCTGAAGTGGAGGTAATTCTTTGTTGTTTTTCGAGAGCAAATGCAAGTGGGAGTTACCAGTTCCACTTGTTTGTCCGCGTCTCTTTCCTTCGCTTTCTCTTCCTTCCGTGTAACTGAGGTGAATTTGCGATCGTAAAGATGTCTTCAGGCCACTTTGTTTTCCCTTCACCTCAGTAACGAAGCAAGAAATATAATATGTATGTAAGTCGTATAAGTAAGGCGATGTAGCTGAGGCGTGAAGACAAAAGCTTCAGATGCAGAGGTTTATTAAGGCTGTTGTAGGCAAGGTCTAAATAAGTAGGTTGTAGGTGGTCATAGGTGCGGTCTCAGGGAGGGGACACATAGGAAAGAGTTATATAAAGGTTGAAGATGGAATGCAGTTATAGAAGTGAAGATTGAACATGAAATGCATTTGTAATAATGTATCATATATGTGTATATATATATATATATATATATATATATAGATATAATATATAATATATATAATATATATGTATGTTTATGTGTGTGTATATGTATATATATATATATATATAAGATAGATAGATAGATATAGATATAGATATAGATATAGATAGATATACAGATAGATAGATATAGATATAGATATATAAATATATAGATAGATAGATAGATATATATATTATAATATATTAATTATATATTTAATATATATTTATATATATATATATATATATATATATATATATATATATATATATATACGCATTTACACACATTTATTTATGTATATGTATGTATGTGTGTATATCTATCTATCTATCTATATATCTATATATCTATATATATACACAATTTTATGTATATGCATATATATATTATATATATAATATAGATATTATATATGTATATATATATATATGTATATATATACATATATATATATATATATACATATTATGCATATATGTGTGTGTGTATATATATATATATAATATATATATATATATATATACATATGTATATATGTATATATATTATGTATAAATATATATGTATATGTATATATACATATATATTTGTATATATAAATATATTTATATATATATAGATAGATAGATAGATAGATAGATAGATAGCTATATAGATAGATATATAGATATATAGATAGATAGATAGATAGATATACATGTATATGTATATATATGTATATATATATATATATATATATATATATATATATATATATATATATATATATATATATATATATGTATATACATTCTTTACTTCCATGCTCACTGCCGTTAGACGTAGGGCGACCGTCACATGTATGTATATGTATACAATATATAATATATAATATATATATATATATATATATATATATACACACACACACACACACACACACACACACACACACACACACACACACACACACACACACACACACACACACATAACTAACACCCCGTTGCGCGTGTCGCCTTCCCCAGAACAGCCGAGAGGCGCCGTGTGTCGCGCGACTCGAAGGACTCCGAGCCGGCAAGATGCTCAACAGGATCGTAGGCTTCCACGTTCTGCTTATGTCGTTACTGCTGTTTGGGGTCAGTGTCTTCCTCTACGTGTACCTCTCACTGATATATGTAGGGTAAATATGTGTTTGTGCGCGCGTGTGTGTATGTATGAATGTGTTTCTGTATATAGGCCTACGTATACATAAGTATATGTATACAAAGACGAATGAATAGGAGCATAAAGGGTAAATGCCACGGCCAGAGGGACCCCCAGGTTATGGACGTCTTCAAGTTGAAAATATAATGATTATGGAATTGGTTTTATTACTTCAAAGAACCAACATAAGTATGTTTGAGGGCGCCAGAAAATGTGAATGCAGGCGGTGTCCTCCTCTGAAATGCTTGATAAATTGATAACAGTAAAATAGTGTGAAAAATTAATGAACATTGTTATTCTAGAACATATAATCATGAATGGATCTATAATACCACGATGATGAAAGAAAATGTTTGTAAGGTAACATACATTTATTAACACATGTATAACTATTGTCATATAGAATTAGCATATCACTATAGTTTATATTATACTCCATGAAATCGAGAAAATAAACTTGAAAGTCTTTATCGGCAGTTAACATATTTTTTTCGATAAGCGGTTTATCATTATTTTTAGCCAGGTAATTGATTTTTTTTATGTTGAAAGGCCCCCGAATCTTTAGTGTATATGTATATATGCATGTGTGTGTGTGTGTGTGTATAGAGAGAAAGAGAGAGAGGCGGGAAAGAAATTATTGGCCATGGGTCATTTCGGGAACCTCTTCGCTGTATCTTTCTTAAATACATAATCTTTACTTTCGTAAAGTACAAGAAACAGATCAACGTTTTCCGCATTTGCAGATATCGTACCTGAACGCAGGGCTGCTCACACCACGGAGCCTCCTCGACACAGCACGCCGCACGCAAGGTTAGAACGGATAGTCGTTGTGCATGAAAGAATGAGCATCTTTATCTACATTTACTGTATATATGTGTGTGTATTATATTCGTGAGTGCGTTCCGCGCTGATGACCATTCCGTGCGCAGGAGGCGGTGCCGCGGGAGCCTCCCCCGCCAACCTGACGGCGGCGCCCTTCCACGTGCTGCTCCTGAGCTCCGTCGGCCGCAGTGGCTCCACCTTCCTCGGGGAGCTCCTGTCGCAGCGCCCTCGGACCGTGTTCATGTTCGAGCCTGAGCTCTTCCTTCAGCAGTAGGCGCCAAATCGTGTAATTTTGCGAGTTAAAAAAAGAGTAAAGCTTGTGTGTGTGCTTGTGTGAAAATTATTATTGATCTATCATTAGTATCATCATTACCAATACTATCAATATTGTAATAATTATAGTTATTATCAACACCATCATCACCGTCACACTTCACCATCATTATCATTACCATCATCATCACCAACCCCATCACCACCAGCACCATCACCTCGTCATCAACACATCATCATCACCCTCATCATTACCACTATCAGTGCAGCTACTACTTCGGTCCCATCTGTTTCTATTCAAATTATTACGTCTCACAACTTCTTGTACGTACGTTCCATTCCCATTACTAGCTGCAACTCTCCGAATAAAATTCTCCTTTTCCTTAAACTCAAAAGCTCCTCTTGGAAAGCTTCAGAATTTTAGTTCCTTTTCCTTTTAATTTTCCCTGAATTCGATTTTCTTGATTACTCATACGTGTGTTCCTTGCGACAAATGTAGAGGGTTTGAATGATAATTAAGGTCATGTCTCTCTCTCTCTCTCTCTCTCTCTCTCTCTCTCTCTCTCTTCTCTTCTTCTCTCTCTCTCTCCTTTCTTTCCCTTTCCCTCTCCTCTCCCTCTCCCTCTCCCTCTCCCTCCCTCTCCCTCTCTCTCTCTCTCTCTCTCTCTCTCTCTCTCTCTCTCTCTCTCTCTCTCCTGCTCTCTCTCTCTCTCTCTCTCTCTCTCTCTCTCTCTCTCTCTCTCTCTCTCTCTCTCTCTCTCTCTCTACTCTATTGTATTCTACTCTCTCGCTGTCTCTCTCTACTCTATTGTATTCTACTCTCTCGCTGTCTCTCCTCTATCTCTCTCTCTCTCTCTCTCCTCTCTCTCTCTCTCTCTCTCTCTCTCTCTCTCTATATATATATATATATATATATATATATATATATATATATATATATATATATATATATATATATATATGACTAAGAAGCAGTGAAGATATTCATCTTCATAGAATAGAAGTCACACAGACCTTTCTATACATGCACAAGCAAACTTGAATATCTACCCTCGGTCTCATCTACATTTCCTGCCTGGGCCTCGACAGCAAGTCCCCCGCCGGCGTGACAGCAGCTGCGAGCCGGGACCTTATTCACCGGATGCTCGCGTGTGATTTCAGCGAAGAGTGGAGTGCTTGGGCGAAAACTAGAAAAAATGTTTGGGAACCGGATAACCATGACGTCTGCGATCATCACGTAGGCAGGGACTACCACCAGTGTCTGAGGGAAATCTGTCGAAGCAATGTCTTTAAGGTTATCAAGGTAAAGCCAGTATAGCCTGCCAGTGTTTTTGCTGTTAATGGTTAAAGATAATAATGAAATTAAGAAAAAATAAAAAACATTATTTAAGATTCTCTTCTGAGAGGTTGAGTCGCGATGCTGGGTTTTCTTTCTTTTCATGTCAAGGTAATATCAGATCCCTGTCAACACCGTGAGAGAGAAGACCTAAGTTCAATAAAGAGATAAATAGTAGAGAAGGCATGAATGACAATGAATATCTTCTCAATACACGAGATGTATTTGAACGGTTTCGAATATATCTGACGAAGATATATTCGGAACAGGTGAAATACATCTCTTGTATTGTAAGATATTCATTCTTATCCATGCCTTTACTGCTTTTGTCAACATGAATACGGTTCAAAATAAAAGATAAAACAACCGCCCTTTTGACCAGCGCCCTGCCATGTGACCCACAGACGATTAAGCTGCGGGTGTGGTGGGCGGGGGAGGTGCTCCTCGGCGGGGGCGTGAAGGTGGTGCACCTCGTCCGCGACCCCCGCGCCTCCTTCATGTCCCTCGACCTGCTGGGTATGGTCCAGGCTGACTACAAGGTGTGGTGTCCGCGGATCCTGCAGGTGGGGCTGAGAAATACAAGCTGCTGTATATCGACACAGAGAATATAACAAAAGCGTAGGTCTAACTTACGAAAATGAGTATATAGTGTAGGAGGGAATATTCCAAGGATATCGAAGTTCTCTCGGAGATTAGACTACAAAACAGAGCAATAGTAAGGAAGGACAACTAACGATATCCTGTAGGATTTAGGATTAAGGGTTAAGCTGGAGATATCTTTTTTAGAAAGGCTGTAAAGGATACTCATTAACAGTTCCTAAATCTGTTGGCAGGACCTGGAGATGGTGAGCACCATGAGGGCTCTGTTCCCCGAGAGCTTTACTTCGGTGAAATACGAAGATCTTTGTCGCGATCCGTGGGGTAAGCGCGGGCTGTGCCGTGTATCAGATGCGGTCTAATGATTATTCATTCATTTATTTCTCTCTGTCTGTCTCTGTCTGTCTGTCTGTCTGTCTCTCTTTGCCTTTGCAAGTCTATATATATATATATATATATATATATATATATATATATATATATATATATATATATATATATATATATATATATATATATATATATATATTATATTATATATATATAATATATATATTATATATAATAGTAAAGCTCTCAATCTTCTCCTTTCCTTCGAAATGCTCTATGCTAACCCACCATACCTCCTCCAACCACAGGAACGGCAACGAAACTGTGGAATTTTATTAGCAACGGAAGCACCTTTCTACCAGAGTCTTGGCGAAATTTCTTGCATCGCCACACGAAGAGAAGAGGCAGCAACCCCTTCGGCACGGAACGAGACACACGGCAGCAAATCGGCGCTTGGCGGGAGAAGATCAGCGAACGGTTGCTTTTAGAGGTCGAGCACCACTGCGGAGACGTGATCGACATCTTGGGTCACACTCGATTTGGCTCTTTGGCAAATGCCAGAAACACTTCGATTCCGTTGGATGGAAAGTCTGGCACGTGGGCTCCATGAATCGAGTCTTAGATTATTAAAATGAAAGTGCCGTATGAGGAGGTTAAGAGAATGGTTATCGTTAACTGCTACTTGCCGTCTCCGTCTCCGGTACATGTGTAATTTCTCTGCTCTTTTTACACTGCCGACTTGTACTTGTAGTGCCCAATTAATGTATCTTTACTGACCCCTGTTTATCTTAGTCTTCAGAACTTTACTTTGAGATGGAAGTATCATGGTGCAGGGTAATCAAAACATTCACAGTATTATTACAATATTTATTAAACAAATGAAAAAAAAAAAAACATTTAGAAGAACACTTCGCATGCACAACATTAAATGGTTAAGCATGCCACAGGACAAAACATTAAATGGTTAAGCATGCTCCCATCTACTACAACCACTAAACTGACAAATGCTCATGTGTTGGTATCACATTTGCGACCTTACATTATATAAACTCTACTTTGTATGTTATTTTTTATTGCAAAAGAATGCACATATCTAATAAATATCAATTAATTCAGGGAAAACACATACATGCCCTTAAGCAGAACTTATCATTGGTGTCATTATAATTATTTTCATGATAATTATCACTATCATTATTTCATATCATTACTACCTCCGCCAAGGAAGTTATATTTTCGGTAGCGTTGGTTAGTCTGTTGGTTAGATGGTTAGCAGGATAACAAAAGTTATAAACAGATTTATGATTTTTACAAGAGGCGTATCTTATCCCAATTTAAATGCCATTAAATATTGGTGGTGATCCGGATCCAGGATTCATTAGCATTGCGAGGTTGGGAACACGGGCATCACCAAATGTACTTGAGAAAGAGATTTTAATGTATATCTTCGTGTGAATATTTTTATTGCATTAGTGACCCTAGTGCCTTGGCTGGGGTATGCGCTCACTGAGTGCTTCTAGTTATTATTATTACCATCATTGTCGTTATCATCGTCATTGTCATCCTCATTAAAATTACTATCATTATTATCGTTTGTATTATGCTCTTAATCATTGTTATCATGCTCATTATTATCATTATGTTCATTATTATCAGTATCATTATGTTTATTATCACCACTATTACCATTGAATTAACAAATCTTAAATTTGTTTGACCGGAACTCGAATTTATAGTTTCCAGAATATCAAAATTTTTATCGTAATTACCAGCCAGTGGACCGCAGAATAATTCACAAATGAGCTGCAGATACCTGCTAGGTTTAGTAACGTAGGTCTGTAAATAGAAAGAAGAAATTTTTTTGGCTCCCTGTTGCAGATCGTCAAACACGAAAGGTCCAATATTTTGTTTATTTTTATTGATCCGGTTTATACAAATGGTGGGTTAATGTAGACATAGAAAGAGAGAGAGAGAGAGAGACAGACAGACAGAGACAGATAGCAGACACAACAGAGAGAACGTGAGAGATAAAGAAAACAGAGAGAGAGGGGGGGGGGGAGAGAGACAAACAGAGAGATGGGGAAGAATGAAAAAGAGGGAGACAGACGGGGAAAGAAAAAGTGAGAGAGAGAAAGCGAGAGACAGAGACATAGAGGAAGCGAAAAAGAGATGACTATTCCAAATGGGTAGTGGGAGTGCTATCAGTAGGTAGCAGTCTCCAAACACCTAAAAACCACAGCACCATTTAGAGGCTCGAGCACACACGATTTCCCAGGCAGGGACCGCCCACCACAGCCGCCTGGTGGGAAGATCAGGGGGAGCCCGCCAGGGTCTCTCGGTCAGGAAACCATGGAGGCTGGGGCGTCTGCTGCCCACCACGGTGAAGCTAAGGTATCCATACACAGGTAGACCCACTCCATTGTGATAAAAATCCTAGTTGGCAACTTTATCACTTTTATTTAATGCATTTATTTTATTATTTTATTTTTTTAGAAATCTTCAACCATTGTTATACTGAACCATTTTCAAAAACAAGGCACTGACACAGCACATACCATAAAATATTGTACCAATTGTTTGGATCAAATGGTGACAGAGCTAATGATGTAACCACATTTAGCCAATGAGAGTACATTGTGAGGTATCAGATATAGCTAGATATATAACAGACACTGTTATACCTAAAGGAAGTGAAATCAAAATTCCCCTATTATTTATGATGGATAAGAGTTCCTTACCATTAACAGCCGTCAGAATACTCGAGAAAAATCCATTTCAATTTTGAGTTCAATAGGCTAAATGTAAGTGGACCTACCTGGATATACGTACCTTGAGTAAAGCATTCAGTGACGAATCAGCTGGGATAACCCTCTGAAACTGGCCGGGTCACATACACAAGGCCCGGGTGAAGCTAACCTTCGTGAATATCACTGAACTGAACTGAATCACCGTACTGTAATATTAAAATCCTGCAGTTTAACCCTTCTCTGGCCAAACATCCGAAAGTATTCTTGACTACAGACAAAGCACCTGCCAGTCTCACTCTCAGGCTACAGATTGTTCCTAATGGTGAAGCTAATACAGTACTAAGGGTTATAATCATACGTTCATAGATGAATTTACTTATTAATCGATGTGTTTTAACGCTATTTGTAATATTTTTGGTCTTGTTATTACAGTTAGTAATTGTAATTGTATTATCTTTATTATTATTATTATTATTATTATTATTATTATTATTATTATTATCATCATTATTATTAATAATAATATCATTGTCATTATTCTCATTATTATTATTGTTATTATCATCTTTATCATTATCTTCATCCTCATCATTATTGTTATTATCATTATAATGACCATTATTATCATCATTACTGCCATTTCATTCTCGTTTTCATTAAAATCACCATCATCATCATCACCATCATTATAGCTACTACGGTTATCATTATCAGCTTTATAAAACAAATAATGATCATTATTGTTACCGCTATCATTATAATATAGGAATTATTATAGTTCTATTAACGATTCTTCGGATCATGTTTAATCCCTTTCATCGATATACTGAAATTTCATGTAAGTTTTCATCTCATCAAGAACAAAAATGAAGCGCTAATGATTTCAGAATCATGATGTGTTAGCCTTGTCAGAAAGTAACTTATTCATTCTGACTTACTTAGACTATCCGGAATGACCGAAAAACGAAGAAATGAACGTTTTAAAGAAAAAAAAAATACTCGTACATTGTGGCATCAAAATCCATCCTGATATTTGAGGTTATGCGCGTTTTTTATTTACTTTAATTTAATCTTTCATTATTTACATAAACATCGTTATCTTCACTTAAATGCACACCAATTATAGAGAAT